GTCATATGAATCGTCTGATTTTATGTTAACTGATTTGTACGACCGTGGTCATTACAATATCACCACACACTATTACAGTATTAATTCACTTTATGACAGTTGGCAAGGTTTCAATATGTATATAAACTGCTAGATAGGCCTCTATAAATACGGTGGAGTACTGACCTGCGTGGGTGAGAAGAGACGCTCGACTGATACTATGGCGTGGCGTCTCGCCTTGAACTAGGCCTACAGCTTCCTAGCTTCACATTTCGCTTTGACATTATTCTGGTTCTCACTGATACACTGTCATGATCGTAATGACGGCTAACCTGTTAAACTAATGATCCATATTACGCTTACACGTCCACAAAACCTTCTGAGTCTCCCAGTGGGAATGTCCTCTGTCCCTCCCGTTTCTTTGATGACGTCATCGAGATGTTGTGTGTTTGTTGACGGAAGTTTGTAAATTCTTTCTGCTACCGAGAACCTGTAAAAAAAATTTTTTCACCTATGATTAGCAGAGACTGATAATCATAGTGAAATTGTGATAGGGAGGTTAACTGAGGAATGAGTTGATATTCCTGGAAAGGAAACTTTAAAATCTGCTCCATGGGTGCTGCAGCAAGACGTTGCGTGTTGGGACCTGTTGCCATCCTATAAGGGCCTGAGCTGCCACCATTTTATGAGGGCCTGAGCTGCCACCATTTTATGAGGGCCTGAGCTGCCACAATTTTATGAGGGCCTGAGCTGCCACCGTTTTATGAGGGCCTGGGCAACCACCATTTTATGAGGGCCTGAGCTGCCACCATTTTATAAGGGCCTGTGTGTCAGTAACAATTCCTTTTACTCTCATACTTATTACCATTGGTAGCGTGACGAGAGGAGGCTCGTGGGTAGATGTAATGATAGTAACAAGTAATAGGGAAGAAATAACGGTAAATACTGTAGGTAAATAATAGACACAATATACAAATACAAAATTTATTTAAACATTAATATGGATGTAGGAGAAAGAATATATATGTACCAACAGACGAAATCTGGTACTATGCCCTCAGGCTCAACATACTCACACCACTACTGGGTGGACATACTCAATAACACATAACTCTTATAGTCACTTAGCACCATAAAGACCAGGGGCAACTGCCACTACAACACTCGGTCGTCAGGAGTGATACTCAAACAACCGCCATGGGGTCCTGCCACCATGGGGTACTTTCCGACGAACTCTGAAGATCCCAGTGGATTAACCCCACCACACAAATAGCCCTACTGAGTTAGACACTCATCCACCAATGATGGGGGCTGGTAGTGGTGTGTGGCTTGGTGATCCGGGGTCACCTCGCAGGCCGAGCGTTAGGGCCAGACGAGCCAGCTATGGGGGCCATAGGTAGTCTGAAGTGTCTGACGGCCGGGTCTCACGAAGGTAACTGATCCTACTGGACCTCGGACATCTCCCCAGACATAGTGGATACAACATCCACGCTACAGACACGGCCTAGGCTGCGTTAGGGACCTGTATGGGTGAAGGGACGGGCACTCACTAACGGTGACAACAACATCACGTTTCAGGGGACGTTAAAGACGTAAATATGACTTCACTCAGAGCATATCAACTACGTTACTGTAACACTTGTACAATCAACTATTAATTGGGTCAAATCACTTAAAGAAGGGCGAATTACAACACAGTGGAATGGCATACCTGTATGGGTGAAGGGGCGAGCACTTACTAACGGTAGAAATGCTCGCGGCGCCCTCCAGGGTTGCCAACTCGGATTTTCAAATGTCGCTAGGCTGGTACCTAAAAGTAGCTAAATGTCGCTAAATCTTCCATGGAAAGTCGCTAGCTATTATTCCCCCCCTTCAGTAATTTGATGCAAATAATATTTTCATAATGCCGACTATAATGGACGGAGTATAAATAAAATGCATTATGTAAAAATAAAAATATTATTTTTTTTAAAGTTTAATGTGCACACTTACCTATTATTCAATAGTAATTGCATCCCAGTCCTCTTCGTAGTCGTCGGCAGTGTGAACAACTGTAGAGCTGGAAGCATGTGAAGTGCTTGGTTCAGGTTCTCGTGCAGATATCTTGTAACTGTATGCCTCCACAGTCCCTATCTTTCTTAAAATATCACTAGGAAGTTCATAACTTGCACAACAGGTGTTCTGTCTTTTTAACCCATACTTTATTGTAAGAATTGCCTTTAATGTCGATAGTTTCATTTTGTTGCGCAATTTTGATTCACAAAGTTCATATTACTAAATGTGCGCTCTACATCTGCGTTTGAATGCGGAAGAGATAAGGCAGCGAGTGCAATTTCAGCCAGATCATGGTAAGGGTTTTCACCTGTCGCATCTCTGTAATTTGCCACTTCTGACCACAATTTTAGGGTGTTAGATGCATGGACGGGCTGACATCAAGTGATCAGGAAATAGACGTGTCCCTCCTTCTGTACCACGACCCGTTCAAATGTATTAAACTTTTCTTATTATTTATTGTCCCTGTAACCCCGTTGCTATATATTATGGCTCGAAATTAGGAAAACTGAGTTTTCATGGACAGTCCAAAAGTATCCAGAAAGTCGCTAGATTTCTGTGGATATCTCTAGATTTGCGACAAGTCGCAAATCGCTCTAAAATGTCGCTAGAAAAAAACAAAAAGCTCTAGATCTAGCTACAAAGTCGCTAAGTTGGCAACTCTGACTAACGGGTGAAATGCCCGCGGCACCCTCACTCAAAATAGGCCAGGGAGTCCACTTACTTCTATTTCGATGAATTAATTTACTGTACACTCTGACGTTGAAACTGAGACTATGAACTCAGTTTCATTCCCTACTATTATCCTCACTAACAATGCTCTGGCTGAGCTATCAAAAGCAAAATTAAATTGATTACAAAGGGTTGGATGGCAACAGGTCCCAACATACAGCGTCTGCTACGAAATCCGCGGATTATATTCAAAGTTCCCTTAAGACAAAGACGGCCTATCGATGACGTCACCCAGGAACAGAGAAAACCGGGGACGTTTCCACTGGGGGACTCGGAAGGTTTTGTGGACGTTTGAGCGTAATATGAATCCTTAAGGTTTTCAGGTTAGCCATTATCACGATCATGACAATCCAACCTTTTGTTATCAATTTAATACTTGCTTTTGATAGCTCAGTCAGAGCATTGTTTGTAAAGATAATAGTTGGAAATGAAACTGAGTTCGTAGTCTCAGTTTCAAACGTCAGAGTGTTACAGTAACGTAATTCAGTGAAATGGTTGAGTAGGTGGAATCTGTGACTTTAGGGGGGGGGGGGGTGGAAGGCGGCGGTTGGTTTTTCGAATCAGTGAGCCGCCACGCTTCCCTCCCACAGGTAGGTAACTCCACCTTCTCCGTGTTGTCATGTTTATTGGGTGTGCCTGCCCGTATGCAGTATGTAGAGTACGAAGATGGTGGAGATGAGAGGCCCAGAAGGAGGTTGGAGCGTGTGAAGGGAGTTTGTTTATGTATTATTATACTCACCTGACTCAGCCATAGCTGACCAGCCACGGGGCCAGGCTATAGGGTGGGCAAAAAGTATAGCTACCCATATCTTAGAGTCAACACCTACCCTGGCTTCTCTCTAGACTTTCAACACGTAAGCTTAACTAGTACTTATTGTGTACACAGGTAGACTGTGTCCATTGCATCATTTATCAGTGTGACAATATAGAAATATGGCAAATTGAGTACTCATTGTAAGTGTTAAGATTAGACTAATTACATAGCCATGATTGTTATGTAAATATATATTGGATTAAACATTTATGTAGGAGTGGCTATGTATGACTTATTTGAAATACTAAATGAATTGTATTCAACAGGTTTGACCGAATTATAATGTTTGTGTCCAACTTAAAGAGTCTGAATATCCTTTAACCGCCTGACTGGCTGTTACAGTCAAACTTGGATGTCTACTGTGAAGAAGTGCTAGCTTGAATCAACGGGAGGGCAGCAGAGTAACCAAGGTCAATTCAACTCAACCCACTGGAGGGATGCCCGTGAGTGTGTGCGTGCGCGCGCGTTCCCAGTGCCACGGATTACAGTGCAACGCCCGTAGATTTATAGTGGCGATAATATTTGAACCTTTTGTTATTGAAGAAAATAATGTTGTCAGAGTGAGTTCAGCCACTCTTAGTGTAGCTTGGCTCACCAACACGCGTTACTCGAGGGACGAGTGTGTGCGTGTGGGTGTGGATGTGTGTGTATCCAGTGGCGAGAAGTGCAGTGCAACGTCCGTATACCTCTCGCATCAATAATAGTTAAACCTTGTTAGTCCAGAAAATAGTCTTGTCTGGGTGATCTTCATCACTCTCAGTGTAGTGCATATGAGAATGAAAACACATGTCATTATTGTTGTCTGACGTAAGTGCAGACCACAATTAGCAGTCATAGTTGACTGAAGTGATATTGCTTTGTAAATAACCCAAATATCAATGTAAAGTTTGTAATGATATCAGGTGCGAGTGTAAGACGAGGCACACGAACGTGCCCTGATAAATGAGTGCAAGTCAAGGCACACGAACGTGCCCTGATAATTTTAGTGAGACGAGGCACACGAACGTGCCCTAATTTAAGAGTGGTGGAAACGAACGCAATTCAAATTACCTGAATAAGCAAGATGTCGGAGATTGGGTATATTGATGACATGGATGGAGAGTCGGATCTAGATGGAAGCAAACATTTTGACCTAATGACAATGGATCCGCCCGCTGAGGTACAATCAGAGATTGGTGAAACAAGAAATGAGCTTGCAATACCAGGAGATCCACGGGAAGGTCACAGTAGGGAATTGGATTATCAACAAGCAGTGGCCAGAGCCGAGGCAGCGTCGGATGAAGTAAACCGAGCCCTGCGAGAGCTTAAGGCAGGGTGGATGAAAACGATGCACACTGGAATGGTGGCCGGCCAAGAGACATCAGCACTAACATGAAGAAGTGACAGCTCACAGCCTTCGACAGAGAACTCCAGCAATTATGAGATGCCAATAGTACGGGAAGAAACCCAGCAACAGGCATCGGTCAATGTCGAGAAAATGGCATCGTCTTTACCGCCAATGCTTGCAAGCAAAGCGCCTCAAGTCACAATTATGCATCCACAGGGAGAATCAGGGAAGGGTGAAGAAATAAGAGGGTTAGTGGCTACGATGCGCATGCCGCAAGCCACCCTTCCCAAGTTTAAAGGACAAGGGCGGGCGGAGTTTTGGACCTTTATGCATGCCTTCCGTCGATACATGACAAGTGCGGCTGTGCCAGAGAAGTGCAAGTACCAACTGCTCATGGATGCTTGTGAAGGAGAAGAGTTACATCAAGCAATCATGGGATGCGACTATCTAGAGCCAGACAAAGCCTTCAACAAGGCAATCAAGATCCTGGAGGCAAGGTTTGGAGATAAGTATGCATATGCGGACCAGCTGGTGAAAAGGCTCATAGACGCTCGCTCAGTGGGGGCGTTCGACGGCGAAGGGCTGCAAAAACTGGCATCTCAGTTATGGGGTACAGTAAGCCATCTGGAGAATCTGAACTTGATGTCTGAACTTAAATCAAGGCAGACCTTCAGAACGCTGGTGATTAAGTTTCCCCCCAAATTGAGGGAACGTTGTGTGGATGATGTACGGAATTATTAGAAGTCGACAGGACGCAGAACGGGGCTGGTGAAGTGGTTAGCGCTATATTTGGAGAAGAAAGCGGTGACGATGGATGACATGGCTCTGCTATCAAGCGAGGACAGTCAAGAAGGAAGTAAGAAAAGACCAGAAGGATCATCGTCAAGCAAACGTGCCGTGGGCCTTGTGACTATCAGTGAAGCGAAAGGCAATGGAGGAGAAACAAGCTCTGGAAAAGGCTCGTGCCCAGTGTGTTCCAGAGCACATGGATTAGCAGGGTGCGACAAATTCCGGAGCATGTCAGTGAGGGAGAGGTTAGAGAGGGTAAGAAGATTATGTTGCTGTTTCTTGTGTCTGAGAGTGGGCCACCTTGTTGCTGAGTGTTGGTCAGGTCACGCTTCAGGTGTGGCACTGATGGGTGCAAAGAGAAGCATTCTAGACTGTTGCATCAAGAACGATGGGAGGCACATACTGCAAGTATGTCAAACGCACGCAAGGGTGGCGTAAAGCGAAATTTTCAAGATCTCGTGAAACAGGAGTCAATGGCAGGCACCTTTGATGGTGGCATGGCCCAGAAAGCCAACGACAGTTCGTACATGGCCGGAAAAATAGGCCATGTCTATGCTACAGGGACAAAGGACGGCCATGAAAACCTATACAGCTGCGAAAGCGACATCTGACTATTGACTGAAAAATGCCAAGATTGTACTGCCCATAGTGAATGTGAAGATTCGGGGAAAGGACTCGCACTAACGAAATCACATCAGAACTTTAGCTCTCTTGGACTCAGGCAGCGGCAGGTCGTATTGCACCAAAGATCTGGCACAGAAACTAAGGGTGAAAGGGACACCTACCCTGGTAACCATGGGTACACCTGCCCAAGAGATGATACTCGAGTCAGCGGAGGTAGATCTAGAAGTGGTTGGCGCAGGCATGAAACGAGGCAGAACCATACTTATGCCGAAAGAACTCATTATACAAAATTTCCCCACAACGCTGCACAACTCCGTAGCGAACACAAGTGATATCTCAAGGTGGACCCATCTGTGAGGTGTGGAATTACCAGAATTGCAGAGCAACAGCATAGAAATTCTGATAGGACAAGATGTGCCACAGGCCCTGGTACCCTTGGAGGTCAGAGCAGGAAGGGATGGAATGCCATTCGCCATAAAAACGCTACTGGGTTGTGATGGTTACAAGTGTTCCCTGAAGAATGCAGTGATGGGTAGGGAAACACCGTGTAACGCTGAAGTCCGTTTATTATGGATGAGAGAAATACAAGTGGTGACTCGCGTGTGCCATGCACGGCTCACACAGTCAGACTGAGGCTGCCTTGCCATATGGCAGCCTCGGGGCAATGTTGCCACATAACGTGCAGTGTTGCCACGTGATGATATATATAAATGCTACTCGGCACAGTAGCTTATATACAGGGTTGCTACTCGGCACAGTAGCTTATATACATAACCTACATCTCCCTCCCCCCTCACGCTCATAGTCTTTGTCTTGAGCGGACTTCTTAGTCCTAAGTCGCTCCGAGCGTCGAGGTGCACTGTGGGGCGGATCCTCGTGAGGTGTAGGTGACTCGTCCTCGGTCAGGGGGCCAGCAGCAGGGGGTGGGACTGGCCGGAGGAAGCGGCGGTTCCTCCACCAGACACGGCCGCTCGGCATCCTGACCTTGTAGTCCCGCGACCGGCCGACGCCCATCACTATGCCCACCTTGTCTCAACGTGTCGTCGTCGGGTCCTGGACGCGGACAAGGGCACCAATCTCCAGTGGCTGAAGAGGGTGGGCACGGTCGTCATACCGAGCCTTGGCGTCCTGGGCACGTGAAGCGGCGCGGCTGTCGCAGCTCTCGGCTCTGGTCTGCCACTCCTTCGCAAAGGCCTTGGCGTGTGCAGGAACGCAAGAGCGGAGAGGGTGACCATACAGGATCTGGGAAAGGGAGCGCCCTGTGTGGGTGGGAGTATTACGTAACTCCAGGAGTCCTTTGTCAAACGCCTCGCAGTCTATGTTGCCTGAAGGGGCCACCTTGAGGATGAGGTGCTTGACTGTCTTGACCGCAGCCTCAGCATGGCCGTTTGACTGTGGGTAGTGGGGTGTTGACATGATGTGGCGGACTCCCCAACGCTCCAGGAATCCTGTGAAGTCCCGGCTGGTGAACTGTGGCCCACCGTCCGTCCGCAGACGCACGGGGACGCCCAGGTCACGAAAGAGGTGCCGGAAGTGGCGAATGGTGGCCGCGGATGTTGTGTCCGAGCCACAGATTACCACCACAGGCCAGCCAGAGAGTCTGTCGGCGACAACTAGGAAATGCTACTCGGCACAGTAGCTTATATACACTGTATATAAGCTATATAAGCTACACTAAAATCTACCAAAAAAGTGATGGGCCATTAGTTTTAGCTGATCTTCCCTCCTATGACACACCCTAATATACAGGGTTGCTACTCGGCACAGTAGCTTATATACATAACCTACAGGTTGGACAGTGAATGGACCGGTGGGGCACCAAGACGCACAAGGAGTTTGCATGTCAGGATGCCTTGTCATGGTCACGTTGACTGCTAATCTATTTAACTAATGATTCTTATTAAACTCCATGACCGCAAAACATGAGTGGGTTAGCGACCCCTGAGAAGACGTGTTTTTCCCCCTAGACGCTACACTTGTGTTTTCCTCCTAGTTTGCCCCGCCTTTGTGAAGACAGCTATCAATGCGTTGTTATTCCACTTTCTCCTGGGAAGCTCAATCTTGAATTAGTCTGTGTAATCAACTCAAGTAATTTGCCAGACCTTTGTCAACTGAGGGTCATCTTTGAATGAGTAACAGTTAGTTTGTTTGTAAGTATTGTCATTGCGTGAGTAGCGATCACTGGCAACCCAGGGATATATATACCCGGGCATCACGCAGGACGAGCGTCCCTTGACGCCCGCTCCAACATGTTTCCCCAGGTATGTTTATGTGTAGCCATTCAGTTTGATTCAGTCAATTGTAGTGAATATCAGTGTTCATCAGTGTGCATGCTTTAACAGTTTAATTGTCATTAACCCAGTGTAAGAAGTAATATAACGTAAATACGTCTGTCGTTTCTAGACCAGATTTTTGTTTGTGTTGTCATGCTTCCGTCCCTTGACGCCCGCTCCATATTTCCCCAGATCCAATTGTGACTCTTGGATCACTCGACAACTGCTCCGGATGTAGTAGAAACCCAACAGGGATCATATATGAAACGATGGCATCGATGCGGCCTGATTAATGTGCTCCACTGCCTCGTAGTGCCGACCCCAGACTCGCCATGTGTCTGGCTACCACCGACCACAACAACGGTCTTTGAGCCCCAGTGTTCCACCTTGAAACGCACCCTGGAAGTATATGTCCACAGAGAGTGTTGTAACAATGTAACATGTATGTTAGGGATAATTAGTTGGAAATAATTATCCCATGTTGGGTAGTGGACCCCTGTATCTGCTCTTTTCAGTATTAACGAGTATGTTGAGTAAAGTCTTGTATCTGTACTGTAATGCCACGTACCACCAGCAGGTGTGAGAAGTACAGTAATGTACAAGGAGTGCCATGTACTATGTATTGTGAGTAGGGCCAAGGAACTGGTCCTGCTATGTAAGGTAATGTAACACCAGTAGGTTGTGTGCAGTAAGAGTGTAAGATCTGAGTAATTACTGTTGAGTAAAGAAATAAGAAAATAAGTAAATAAGCAAATAAGTAAAGAAGAAAGTACTGAGTCTGCAATAAGCCCAGGAGTTGAACCTGGTAGTAATGTGAATAATATCTCTTTTTTCCCTTTGATTTCAGATTAATAAACTTGTTCTTAGAGTATTTTAGGTGTATTCATTTCTCCTGTGGTGTGATGAAATCCTAGACAAGGTTCTTCAAACTCCAGAGCACGAGCAGTAGATATATTCAATAAGTAGTACAAGACTTGGCGTCATAGCCAACCGGTACAGGAACAGGAGCCAGCACAAGGAACTCCTCGTCGTAGGCAGGCCGAAGCTGATCTGAGGGAAATTAGCTAGCTAGGCAAGGAGAGTTGCTAGACATTACTAGGACAATAAATGGGGTCTTCTAATTACTCGACTAGCGCGGTACAGGCATAGTACATCGGGACATAGTAAGTGGACATAGGCATTAGACATAAGCATAGATATCAGACATGCTATAATAATATGTAGTAATACAGACATGTGAATAAATGGTACAATGATTGGTAACAGAGTCTTGGCGTCAGGCGTGTTCACATCTCTTGGTATTTACATATCTATACACCTCCCTCCCCCTTTACGCTCGTAGTGAAATCTCGAGCGGCTACGGACTCTTTTTCCATGAGTCGGGGGGAGCGGCGAGGGACAATGGGAGGATCAACTGACGACCTTCGTTCCTGGTCTGGGCAAGGGGACACAGGGGACGGGGAGGAAGGTTCGTCACTAGAGGATGGCACTGGGCAGAGATGGCGTCTGTTTCGCCACCACACACGACCACTGGGGAGGCGGACTTGGTACGAACGAGACTCGCCACGGCCCATGACGACCCCGACCTTGTCCCAGCGGTGTGACGTCGGGTCCTGGATTCGTACTTGCTGGCCGACGGCCAACCTGGGAAGGGGGCGGGCTTGGGCGTCATAGTGGCTTGTCACTTGGGCCATCCGGGCAGCCTCACGGCGGTCACACTCGTCCGCCTTGATCTGCCATTCATCTAAGAAGGACTGGGGGTGGGCAGGCACACAAGTACGAAGGGGGCGGCCATACAACACCTGGGCAGGAGAGCGTCCGGCAGGGGTAGGGGTGTTACGGAGTTCCAGTAGGCCCCTGTCGAACTCCTCGCAGTCCAGGTTCCCCGTCGGTGCTGTCTTGAGGATGAGGTATTTTACGGACTTTACCGCTGCCTCGGCGTGGCCATTCGCCTGCGGGTAATGAGGGGAGGTGACGATGTGGTGGACGCCCCAGCGTTCGGCGAAGCTCTTGAACTCGTGGCTATTGAACGGGGGCCCACCGTCGGTTCGGAGG